TTGCATAAAGCAATAAAAAGTAAGCAAATCCAACAAATTATTAGTACTCTAATACTTTCAAATCATTTGTAATTTGTACGCCAGCTTCTTTCAATATTTCCAGCCAATAACTAAGTTTATGAGAATATGAACCATAACACCAAACTAAAACATGGATGTTTAGTTACCTCAACAAGTCTTAAATGGAATTAAATTTAGGAAATAATGTAGAAATACTAAAGAAAAATTTGTACTACAATCTACCTAATACTTAGTTATTTTGCTCTGAAGTTGACGAGGAAAAAATTGTTGGCAAGAATTCACATATTAATGTGATAACCCAAAACACTTGACCCGATAAGGAACACTGTCCACATTGCAGGATTACCAAATCACAAATCTTTATGTGTTGAAATATGTTAGTGAATGTAAAGCTCATAGATATTTTAGTCAAATATACAAATATTAAAATGCATTTTTGAAGTAGAATATATTTCTCAATTGGAATGAGCAAGACCATATGGTGAAGGGGTTGTGACTGAGAACCTGTGATAATCTCACTTCATAATCAAACATTAAACTAACATAACTAATTGCTAGGGAAAATATATCGGTTCATTTGAAAAGAAGAAATTTAGTAGAAGCCATTGAATGACAGAAACAATCCAGCATTTGCAAATGACTATATTTATCAGCATATTGACCAACCTCATCAGGCTTTTTTGCAGCCAGCAATGAGTTTGTAAGGCCACGCAAGACTTCAAAATCTATAGTGTTCGATGCCTGCAAGAAAATAAAACAAACTTAGGAACTGGAAGTTATCCTATAGTTGTTGTACTAATGCCTGTTCAAAATTTATTGATACAGGATTCCCAAGTGAGAAAGTCAAAACCTTTAGCAACAAGATTGCATACACAATATTATCCATTTATCCAAAAAGTCTATACCACACTGACCATTGCAGAACTTCTATATGCAACAGCACTTCCTTCATAATCTTTGAGCGCATATTTAACTTCACCAAGCAAGCGAAAAGCATCAGGGTCATTTGGTTTCTTCTGAAGATTAAAGTAGGTCAAGTTAGAAACAAAGTCTCTTGCTTGAAATTCTTTAAAAAAAAAAACTATATGTTCCTCCAAATAAGATCGGTCAAAATTCGAAAATGGACCTCAGTCAATTTTTCAAGCAATGTCGCAGCACGTCTATACTCTCCCAGTTCTGCTAAGGTCACTGCAGCCCCCTACAAAACGACTCAAATGAATTGGAAGGAGCTAGCATTATGCTCAAATGACCAATCTTACTGAACTAGTCAGTATTAATAGAAATCAAGCAGGTCAAGTTGAGGAATGTAGCTGTGAGAAGTTCTTCCAAAGAATTAAAGGAAACTGAATTCAAATTGTACAAATCTCTCTTTTGAGAACAAACTTGGGTGAGTCACATATCATAGAAATATTCCAAGTATCAATGGTCTGTATCAGAATGTTGATTATTGGTAAAATCGATGAATTATATCAGCAAGAAAAATATTAGCTCATGCAGCACATCATGACTCACTTCAAGAGCAGTTGGATCTTCTGGGGACATAATAAGTGTTTCTTCAAATTGCCGCAGCCTCTTCTGCACATAGAAGAATTACTAATCTAAGCTTATGTGTTGGAGAAATTTTACTATTACAGCTGTTAGTGTTATTCAAGAAGGAAGAAAGGAAGAGCTGTGCATATTCTTATAGAGTTTGAAGGAATATGAAGCAAGAAACAGGCAGAAACACTGTATGAATAAGCAACAGTCCCTTTATTCATCAAGAATAGATTCTGCAAATATGCAATATAACAGGAGAGACTTTACATTTAATGAACTACAGATGTTTCTCATCAAGAACAATTTAAGAGAAGAAATGTGGTTTTAAAGTATAAGGTCTAATTGGTAATTCGGCATGCAGATAAGTACTCTTAGGACCTTACTTCAGATAGTCAAATTAAAAGATTGAACCTGAAGATTTTCTCTCTCTTCTTCTGAAATTGTATTACCGATGGTAACGGCTTCCTCCGTGGGGCTCACACTGCAGTCCATAGGGCCAGATCAGGTTTAAATTGTTTACAAGAAGTTTGAAGACAATTAAATTTCCAAATAAAGACATGATGATTTACAGATGCATAAAATATGGGTCTTGATATTTTCACGATAAAATAAATAACAAACTAAGCCTATAAGCTCATGTTTATAAACCCTGAAGCCAACGAGTACTACCGCTTATCCACCCCTCATTTCTATCCATTTATAATTTAAACAATTAATAAACACTTACCAAACATGCTTTTATCTATTTGGAATTAGCTATATGATTCCTTTTTCTGCACTTCATTCAGTTCATCGTTCAATCTACTGAATTAAAAAAAATCAAATTATTTACACCACAATTTCAATTTTGGTCTACCTCTCTCTACTAAATCGTAAGAGTGAGATCATATTGTCCTTTAAGCACTCCCAAACATGCTCTTCATCATATGAATATCTTCTACTTTAACATGACAACACTCGGTATCACAAAGCATAAGGGGTCTAACATCTCATAAGCATTTATGGACAAATGCAACAACATAATGCCCACCAATTAGATATCATTATAAGATAGACACCACCTTGTTGGAGCAGTTGACAGGACTCAACAGTAAGGTGGGGTGGGTGGAAGAATTCAAAAAAATAGTTTGGAAGCCGAAACATTGTGGCAACCAGTGAAGCTGATGCCCAGTGACTCTACAAAGACACTGAAACATAATTTGAAGAAAATATATATTGTATAGCCTGACTATATACATCCCTGAAACAAATGAAGATGGTATCTCATGTAAGAGGAATATATATATATATATATCACAGCTAATTAAAATAGGACCAGGCAAAAAAATCGTAACGATATAAAAGATCGAACCAAAAACTCAAAGAACACATCCAAACAAACTTGGGAGCGTATCCATCATTAAAAAATGCCAGTGGTATATGATACAGAAATTTGACCATGATAAAATTGTCTAGTTGCAAATTGCAAATAAAAAACGGATAAAAAATAATTAAGAATTCAAAAAATCCAGGCAGTCTAAAGTTAAGCTAGGGAAAAATCTTGCATATTCTTAACTCATACCTTCCAGAAGGAAGAAAATCCCCGAGTGCAAAAACCAACCCAAACACAATGACTGCAACTCCAACTCCAATCTATCCAATTCCATTCTAAAATGCTGAATCAGTGATAACTGTACAATTCAGAGAACCCTAATTATACATTAAGAGGAATGCATCAGCTGATGCAATAATGTACCTTAGTCCCCAGCCCAATTGTGCTACTCTCAGTCTTCACTGGAGCATCATAGTCAATTGCACCATATTGTTTCTCCTCCTCTGATTTTTTCTGCTCAAGTGCCAACCTTAGAAATATATAGAAATTGTAGTCAGTTCCATAATGAATTCAAAATCAACAAGACAATAAAAGAAAGAAACATAATATAATGGCGTAAAAATCATCCACCGAACAAGAAAGAGTAACGGATGTAAATAGGTCATACATCAGCAACACATGGATCTCAAATTATAATATATTGCCAAGTTGTACATTAATTGTTTCCAATTTGAAGCTTGAAAGTAAGAGTGCGGACAATAGGAATATGCAAGAATTTGAAAAATGGAGAAAACACAAAATGTGAAAGGACATACTGTCTAATTGCTTGCAGCCTCTGTTCGAACTGAAGATCATCAGAGGAGATGATGTTAGTCTTTCCATCAATTCGAGAACCTAAGCTAGGTGCCTCTGCAGAGAGGATGACCATATATCACACAGGAAATATAACATAACAACAGATATGAAAGAAAGATTAAAACAAAAAACGACGAGGACATTGATTAAACCTCTGATCCTATTGGGATGGGAACTGTTAAAGATGGTGATGTATGTTCAGATAAACCACCTTAGCTTTAAGCTTAAAATTAACATTTCTTACTTAAAAAAGGCAAGTTATTGAAAGAGTAACATTTTGTCTCTAAACATGGTTTTAAAACCTTTTTTTTTTTTACTTACTAGTCATAGTAATACGTGAATTGCACGATTTTTAAATTTTCTTTTAGTGTGTAAGAATGTTATCTTTAGATATTGAACTCGATCTAAAAAGATAGTTATGTTGTATATATAAATTGTTTATGATATTTGGAAAGTAAGAGAATAAAAAGAGTTCGCCAATAGGGTAAAAATAGAGAAAAGAAGAAGATAAGAAAAGAAATGATACCAGAATAAGGATTCATGAAGAATGTGTGCTACTTTGTGTTTGAAACTTCAAAATCTTTTGGATTCTGGTCCGTGGCAATTGAATTTTTTTATTACAAATGGATAAAGTTCAAACTTTGCGACTTGATCAACACATTATTGCTTCAAGAGAAAGTCCCATCGAAGTTCACTACAAATTTTTCGGTACTTACTATGAAATTTATGGACACTANGTGCAGGTAACTCATTCAAAAATAATTTTCAATTCATTGGAATTCTGTAATCTTCGTTCTTCTATACACACACACACACACACACACACACACACACACACACATTAATAAAATATAGAAAATGAAGGAAAAGCAAATATAACACTGGAAATTCCTCCATTTTGAAAAGTCCTAAAGGAATGCTTGAAAAATTGAGCTGCAATATGCTGAGGAACGTGTTATGGATAGATTAGAAGAGGGTACTTCGAGTATACTACATAAATAATTAATATACATAATTAGGAGCCAACATATAATCCAGATTCCTAATATTCAAATAAAAACATTGAACTTAAAGTCTCGAACCATATGTGCAAGCATAAATTGTTGGACAGATTTTGTAGAACTGTCAGATGAGAACGCAAAAACAAACTGCGATCCCTACACATTTAGGGGATAATATGATATTTTAAAATGAAAATAAAATTTAGCTTATGAAAAATGTAGATTTAAGGGAACTACACATTTCTTTTAAAGAGACCACAGCATATAATTTGTAATATAAACCACTTTTATAAGTGGGATTTAAAACTATTGGAGATCGTGTTTAGTAACTAAATTGTTATGAAACTCTGTTTCTGGACTTAATTCATCATATTCATTAATTCATACATTTCAAAGATTAATTGTATACTAAATTGATGTAATGATACCAATTCAAATCCATACATGAATACAAAGGTTACTTAAGTTAAAATTAATCGATAAAGTGATCTTGAAAATTTAATTTAGACACAAGGTTGTGTACACAAACTTGAAGAAAGAATTTTGACCATAGATTAAATAAACAAAATTTGAACATAAATAAGTGTAAATGAACTCGAAGAATTACTTTACAACCATATTAATTGAATAACTTTAAAATACATGAAGTTTACACGAATTTGAAGAATTAATTTGTACTTAACATTAATTGAATGGAACAAAAGGGCACAATCAAAATAGTTGAAGTATAGTTAGGGTATAATCGGGGGGGAAAAAATTATTCCCACATCATACCACTATTAATATAGTATATCTATCTGAGTTATAACCCCGTTTACCACTTTGTTTACAGAATTTACACTCGGCAAAATCTTACACAATTTTCCACAACAAACACCGGATTTACAATTCTGCCACGCAAGCATCTGTACACCAGGGTGGCAAGAAAATCAACAGATTTTCCCTATCTAGATATAGATTATAGATAACTAAATTAACTTTCTAGCTTAGCCTAAAGTGCTCTCAGTGTTGAACAACTTACGATTTGATTGCGTGGGCGGCTGCTGAGAGAATGATTGCCTGCAAATGCATTAAACAAGTAAGAAGATGAATATTTTGCAAAAGCACGATATTATCCCACATAATGTTGAACAAACAATTAAAAAAGATAAGTGGGCAACCTTTTGTTGTTCTTCTTCTCCTCCTCCTTTTCAAGTGCAGAGGATTTCTTAGAGGACGGCCCAAAACCACGTTTGGGACTCGAAGCAGAGATTCTTATGCTAATCTCAACTTCCCGTTTTGAGTTCGGAATTAAATTGATATACGAGAAGAACAATTTTCTGTTATGATTTTGATAACTACAAGAAGAAGAAATTGAATTGATGAGATGATTGTTAATGCACGTAGATTTTGTAGAAAATGACATAATGATGCCTGTGGCTGTTTCTTCTCCGTCGGAGGTTTATGGCGGGTAGATAAGGTTTACACTTTAGATTTCGGAGGGACCATCTTTTATTTTTCACTTCTCCGTTTTATTTTTTTCTTTTCTTATAATTTTGAGATATTTATTTTATTTTACCTTTAAAAAAAATTTATTTATTATTTTACAATTTTTTATATATTGATAGTAACTTTTTGATTCATAAAGAAAAAAGTATTCAAATATATTTTTTAGAATCATATTTGAAATCACCTGAATTTAGAAGAATTTTTAGAAACAATCAAAATATGAGTTCTGAAAGTATATACTGTAAGCCTAAGTAAATTTACTTTTTAAGTGTATCTTGTAAGCGTGCCCAAACATGCAGTGGTACATTTCATTTTCCACAAGTTACAACTGAGAGGAAACTAAAGGAAATGAAAAAATTGATTTTGATAAATTTTGGACTCGACTATATATGGTATATATACAACCTAACTAACAAGAAAAGAGAGATATAGACTCTCGTTCTATCCAGAGAGCATGCTCGAAGAGACACGCTGAACTGCCGGCCCCACCTAGCTTCCTAGCAAATGGAAGTGATATGGACACGTCCGTTTTAGAGTGGATCCACCAGAACCTGAATTCTGGATGAACTGATGCAAGTTTTTACGTCAGATAAATTCAGATCCGAAAGAGGTCGATAATACCCATACCATGCTATGTTAAGCAGTCTTTGTCCATGTTGGAACTGCTGATGGCAGTACCGCACAAGTACCACATACTAAAACCGTTGCTCAAGAAGGGGGAACGACCATCTGTTCTACACCCATATAGTCAGCTGCAAATTCCTCATCATTCTTACCTAGCATCTCCTTCAAACTACATTCCATATTTATACTCTTCAGAAGCCAAAATCTGGGCTTGATCTTCTTCTCAAGTGAGTAGCTGAAGTATCTTGGGTAGTCAATGACCTCGCTTAATGGCTTTTTCATGGTTTGTGTTAGGAATTCAAACTTTGGTCTCAAAACTTCCTCGATACTGTAACCTAGCAACGGTGAGAACCTGCGAACCATGAATCCTATGTCCCTCCTTGACAGTCCAATCTTCATAAGGTACTTCATTCTGCATGCAGAAAACCGTATCATTAACAACGTAAAACAATCATTTGGTTATGCAGCCTATTCTTACACTGAAAGTAGTTATTATATTAGTTAAAAATTCGTCACCATTTATTTAGGCTCAAGTGAGGAATTCAGTGTCAACTTGTGGTAAGAAACCATCTTATATATTCTTTTATGTATAAGAAAACTGCAGCACTGGGCCTGAACCTATAGCGCTTGTAGCGGTTTGGTCTCCAACCATTACATCGGGATATTTAAATCCTTAACCTTTCATTCAATTGCTATTCATCCTTATTGACGATTCCATGCTAATATCCTTTAAAAATTCATTATTTTAATTAAAAGATGGTTATACCTTTTACATACAAAGAAAAAGAGAAAAGAACCTGCAGCTGATGGTGGCTTCAACAGCTGATGGGATAGGTTGAGAGGAATGATGGTTTCTTTTTCCTATTAAAATTAAGCGTTAAGATGCACATCTATATGCTATATATGAAGATAGATATTTACCTTGGAAGTAATGCTCTGTTGACATCACAGACAAAAAGCTCTGGATATTTTCTGATAACCCTTGGGAGATGAGTTCTGGAAACACCAATGGCAGAAAGGAATTCAAGTTTCTTCATTAGAGTTCTGTCAATGCTGGTGGCAAATATTTCAGGACAGCGATAAAGTATCCTACTAATGTCTTCCTCCACGAGTCCTAAATCTTTCAAGAAGGATACCACCTGGGCACACCAACAACGAATTGAATCAATATGCATAAAAGAAGCATAGGTGAAAACAATTAAGTCATACAATGAAGATTGAACTATCTCGTCTAAAAGCTTCAATTGTCACATAGGGGTAATCATGAATCATGATATTCACTTTATTTTCTCAAGAAATATCAAACCTGGAGGAATTCTGGAGGTCTGCAGTGTAGGAGCTGAGGACTTGTAACAATAACTTTACCTAACTTGTTGCTTCTAATACCCAGTTCACCAATCTGATCCACCATCATCTTCAGATTGTTATTTGAACAGCCCAAAATATGAGGCCAGTTTTTAATGGCACGGGAAGAACAAGCTTTTGGCACCTGGAAAGGATGTTACTCATACATCAATTTACTAATGAAGTGCTGGGAAAGCAGCAGAAATTCCTGTACTAAAAATTCAGGAAAACTATGTCATTTGAATTGCACAAGTTAGCCCTAGACAGCACAACTTTAAGACAATGGTGTTATCCCCCCAAAAAAGATAGCAAATACTGATGAGAACATCAATCATCCCGCTGAAGCCCAGTACCTTCTCTTCATCAAAGAGACAAAGGACTTTCTGATAGTTTTCCAGAATGCTCGAGGAAAGAATCCAAGGATACTTGATCAGCATCTTGCCAGAACCATTATCCTGTACACCCACCTAGAAGGCAAGATTTCTGGAAATGTAAGATATCGCCAGGCAAGTTATCTCATGGATAACATAATAATTTCGCAAAAGTTCAACATTGCATATTCATTTACAGAAACTAATGATAGAGACTTAAGTCTAACCATATTGAGATTTGTCTTCCATTAACTCCAACATACAAGCTTATCTTGTTCTCTAAAAACATTATGAAGAAAGTTGCCTAGCTCCATTAGCCCTACTCCAAAAAAATGTATAGATTAAACTCTTTTTATCTCAAATCCTAGTATCTTTGGAAGAATCATCTACGGTACTATAGGGAATAAAATTATTTGACCATCGCTGTCCTAATCTTTTCTAAAGTTCTGACACCAGCTGCATAAAATAATAAAATATGGAGTCAGTTTAGCACTCATATCAATACCGATTCGATCCGAGCTCTCTTGTGTGTTGTTAAGAAGAAGGTGAGGGATATTGATTTTTTGCAATCTGGCAAACTTAAAAGTCTATTTTCTTTGTGTGCTTTCCCTTAATCAGGAAAGGTATGAAATATGTAAATGAGGTCCTAACTTGAACATCATAATAAACATAATACAAGGACATTGTCAATGTCAATGTTAATATAAGGACATTGTCAATGTAAATGAGATCAGGAAAAATTACAGTCAGTTAAATCATACCTTCTCAAAAGCTAGTAGTCTCGGTTTGATGTCCTTGTCAATGTTATAGAATAGAATGGGAGGGAATAAGAGGAGGACATTCTTAGCGCATCCTCTAGGGACTCCAATATCTTCTAAAAAATTCATCACGGGCTTCATGTGAGATTCTACAGGTAGCAACAGAATGCGTGGAAATGACTCAATAAGATATCGGAAAGAGGCATTTTCACAACCCAGAAGATCCAAACCTCCACGCCTTGCTTGAATCTATCAAAGAAAAGAAAATGTAGAATTTTAAGACATGGAAAGGAGGAAGGTTACGCTAATGCATATCTATACTGCAATTCTTCAACAGAAACTGATATTTCATGAGCAAAGAAGATACCGAAGAAACAGGTAGTGGACATTTATAAGTCTAAATCAATGACATTTTTTGAAATTAACCATGCTAACCTTCTCAAAAAATGATAAAGTTTGTTGCAGATCCTCGTCAGCAGAAACGGAGAGGTGCATCATCATCCTTCGGGCATTTTTTCCGATGAGCCCTTCATCATCACTGTCAGAAAAGAATATTTCCTTGACATACTTAACCTAAGAATATTCAGAACGGAGTTACATTCTGTCAAACTAAAAACATGAAACAGAGTTTGAAGTCTTAAAGTTTTGGTTCAAAATCGAGTTCATTCACAAGAAACAGCCCCTATTCTGCGGTGGATATTATGGAAATTACTTGTACTATTCATATTGCGAGGAAAGGGTCCATAGGTTAAGTTTTAATTCAATTACATCAAATAAGGTTGGATATCATTCTTTTCTATTAGGTATGACTTCCACTATTTCCCAGATAGCCACTTAGTTAACCATAGACATATTTTAGTTAATATGTGTCTATCCCTGAAAATCCCGAGATAGAAAAAACCTTGTGAATGAGGAGAGGTAGCGTTTGGGAGTGAGAAGACAGGTAGCCAGCTAAGTAAGTTGCAGAAGACAGAGTGAGGCCAAGACTCTCCAAAAAGGGAAGAATGCCCTCATCCCCTTTTCCCTTTGCCATCTCGTAAACCTTCTTCTTAAACGACTCTAGTTTAGGTGTAGCACAAGAATCAAAATCGCTGGAGATAATTTCACCAGAGTCGGCAGTCCACGAATTCCACTCGTCCAAATCGCGTACACTATCAATCAACATTTCCAAATACTTGGGACAGCTCGATGAAATCTTCACAGACTTCTCCCTCGAAGCTCCATACTCTTCAAGATACTCTCTCACCGCATTTCTCGCTACTTCTTCTTCTTCCGCTTCCAAATTATCGTTATTAGAACAACGAAATGACGATTGACAGAGGAGAATTCGATCGGAATTGAAGTGGGTTTTAGTATCTTTCGTCTGAATTGGATTCGGAGGACATATCGCGCGGTTAGCGGACATATGGCTTAAAATTTTGGGGGAAAATTTGCCGGCGGGAGATTTATACGGATAGAGAATAAAATTAATGCGATTTCTTACGTTAGTAATAGGAATTGCCCCAATTGAATTTGCAGTGGAACACATAGTTATCTCGTTCTTAGAACCCTAAAAGTTTGAGCCTTCACTCTCTTATTATCCCTCTCTAAAACCCTTCTTCAGGTTACCCGTTTAGAATCGCGTCCAACGTGTTTAGCTTAGAATAAGCAACTTATTTTACATAATAAGTAACAAAACATTTAATATGTTCGAAAATAAAAAGTTCAAAATTCACACTTTCAAAGCTACAAACATGACAATATTTTGTACTTTCGCAAGTTTGAAAGGGTATTCTTGATCCACCACCTTCGAATGAAATTTCAAATTAATCATCAACATGAAAACTTCAAATAAAACATAAATAATGGTCTGAGTAAAAAATTACAACCGTCAGATCGGCCATAAGAAATGAAAAGACAATTCACGAAACGCATCCGCCTAGCTCGACTTTCCACTATGATATGCCAGAACTAAAACAAGGACGGACCAGAGTGGATGCAAAACCACAAAACAATCTAAAAGAGCAGCACGAGTGCACTTGAATGAAACCTGCCTAGCTCGACTGAGCACCTGACACAGTCGTAGTAGCAGTACCTTCAGCTTCGACCCTGGCATCAGCGTAACCATCCAATACAGGAGCAGATTTTTCGGCAACCAAACTGTTTTTACTGCAATCGTCCAGTTTAACAATCTGTGCATAACTTTTCGTCATTTGTTTGATAATTTCATCAGGCAATGCAACTAAATTTCTGTTTTCATTTCCTCCGACCAACCCAATGTTCAACAAGCTGGTCTGCTCTATCGCCTTTCTTTCTTGCATGGCTTTTTGCCGGTCTTCATAGAAATCGAAATCATCAAGGATTGACACATTGGTTTCGTACTTCTTGAAAATATTCAACATTTCAATACCTTGCTCCAATTTTACCTACAAAATTTACATACAGGATGAATAAAAGACCATAAACTTGTAAATTTCTAAAGGCATCAAAGAAGTCAGTATCATTTATGCACTGAAATGAGATTTCACCGAGATCTCACTTTTCAAACATCTTCCTCATTTACAAGCTACATAGCTAGCCATATTCGGAAAGCATAAGATTTGGAAAGAGTTTATCAGTCTAAGAGCATGTTTGGCTAAGCTTAAAATAAGAAAAAGTCACTGAACTTTAGGTTACCAAACATGTTCATATGAAGGAAAAACACGGCAACACGGCAGGTAAGATTCTACCTCTTGTGTGTCTCGACTGTTGGTTACAGGCTTGTTATCGTTACTCTCAAGCACAATGTGACGAAACTGGCTGTTGGGAACATCTTTTATGATGTGCCACTTGACAGGAAACTGCCCGCTCCATTTATCTTGCTGCCAATAGTCCACACTCTTTTCAAAATCTACAGGTCCCGCCATTTCAGCCACTCCACAAAACTGAGCACTAGCATTAACCTGCATTGTGTTGCATAATACATGTAAAGCAAAGAGCAGATTATGGATTAGACTGTAGTGGACACTATCAAAGACCAAAAAGAAGAAGCTACAATCTTGATACAGTCCACCCTCTTTGATCTTGCACGCCAAACATGCCTTTAATGCATGCAAAGAATGCCAGTATTAAAGCTTGTGGCGAAAGTTCTGAAAACTAGAACTGAAGCTACAAAAAGAACGAGAAATCACAATAATCCCAAGTCATAGAATTAACCAAGGCCAGACCATAATGTTTAATCAATAACAAAACATGGAAAAAACTGGAAATTTAGGAAACCATAATAGAGGCTATTCCCTTCATCTTTCCGCACACAAAAATAGAATTCCCAAGAAGTGAACAAACAGGTATTAAATTGTAGAATCAGGTGTCACATTGAGAAATTCTTTGCAAGATGGACAATGATATTGCATATACCTCCTAACTTGTGTAACTAACAGAGAAAATTAAGCAAAGAAATATAGCAAAAATGTCTCACTTCTTCAGTTGATCACCCCGAATTTAAAAGAAGAATGTCTCACCGAGAAAAAGAGAAATACAGGACAGATGGTCTGCTTCTCCTTTGCTTCATGGTACGCAACATCCAGTTTTCGGTTTCCATTCGGAGTGCTGGCCCAGACACCGTACTTGATGCTCTTGTGGACATTATCTTCACTGTAAGATTTAATAACAAAAAATTTTGCATCTTTGTATTCTATGACAAAATCTTGGCAGTTAGACATTCCATGCATCTTGGCCATAGTTGACAAATGTTCATTAGCATCAGTTGGTAGGTAATTTTCGGTGGCAATCTGGCCCTTTGATTTCAATGCTCTTGGTCCTCGATTCTGCTCATTGAAAATGTCAACGGTACCACTACAACTGCATAAAGCACCGTTGCCTCTGCCACGTAACCTGCCATTGTCTAGAGCAAGCCAGGCCCTACTGTTAGTTCCCAAATTATAAGCAGTGTGTCCAATATTAGAGCCTTGATTAAGTCCACGTAGATAGCAACTATTATTGCAAGAATCTGAACCGGATCCAAACCCATAAAACGGACTTGGCTGTTGTGAAGCCTGCATGATATGATAGTAAGCATTGCGTAATCTACTTAGCTTGCATGATTGACAAATAGTCCCAATACCATTGCAACTAAAATAATATGAATAAGGTCAAACAATTTTCTACAACTCATTAGATTTTATATGATATCAGATAACAATGAGGAAATATAATATCTCTGCAGCAATCTAATGTGATGTGGCAAGTAATGGTGCATCAGCAAATAGAAATGACACCAGAAAAGCCAACTCAAGACCCTATGATACAGCTTCTATATAAACATTGAGAGACGAGATGCAAGATGAAAACTTGAGATCAAATGTTGCTTGATGGAGTGTCAGAAGATAAAAGCATTATACAGCCTCCAAATTCAAATGAAGGACTCAACTAGAATACACGACAACAATATTTATTCAGCCCAGCCTAAACCATGATTTCAGTAAACAACAGCCCACAACTTTAGACAGGCACGGCGAATAATGTTCATCTGTTTTAACTTTGATAAAAAATACACGATATAGAAAGCATTGAAGTTCCACAAGCGGGTATAAAGATCACAAAGTCATAGTAGGGTGTGCAAAACTAAAAGAACAAACCATTCCAACATTTTGCCCAAGTGATCCAAAACTGCCGTTTGATTGTGCAGATGCTGACAACGACACCGGAGTAAGAGGCCGCTGCCTATCTGAGGATTTTGGCCAATCAGACCAAAGGCCACCAGTTCTATTTGCATCAAATCCCTGCCACATATCTTGAAAGCCAAACCCTCCAGGGTTTCCAGAGTAATTTCCTCTGCCAGAAGAACCAAATGAAGAGGCATAACCCATTCCTGGTCCATGAAGCCTTCCATCAACTAGTTGGTCAACATTCACAAAAGAGTCTGCTGGTGAAATTGGAGAAGATGGAGTAATATATGGCAGAGTAGGAGAAACTACTTGCTGATAATATGGTTGTCTAGAGTATGTATATTGCTGAGGTGAATATATCGGAGTATCATCGACAGGATGCAAAGGTGTAGAAATGGGGCCATATGGCCCATATGGCATCTGTAGGTTGTAGCCATAACCATTATGAGACATAAGAGAAGGGTCGTCGTTATAGATGCCCTAGTAAGATTAATAAAAGAAAGTAAAGATATTTATACAAAGATATGAAAAGAAATCGTGAATTCAAAGATCACCAACTTACAGGAGATTCAGTATTCAGCCCTTCAGTGTTTCTGTATAGCGGGAACTCATCCCATACACCTGGAAAATTTTCATAACCTGGAGTTGTACCAAGTAGAATAAGAGTGTGTTTGACACCCATTTTAATGGGTTGAAAATTTTTGGAATAGTGATTGATGAGAGAATGTGAGGTAGAAAAGTGATGAAAAGTTTTAGATTTGTGTGTAATATTATTTTATTTGAAGATTGTATGGTTGAAATAAAGAAAGAGAATGAGAATGAGAAAGAGAAAGAGAATGGATGCCAAACAAGGGCTAAATCATTATTATGATCCACAAAACAAGTTCAAAATGTGAAGCAGCACATCAAATGAAGTTGTGTGCTGCTTGGGAAATTACGACTATTATGAAGCTGAATACCAGATGGGATTCAGCTGAAACGTGACTGTTCTTTATGCTAGACTACCTTCCCATCCCTCACTCTGAAAATGCATTGTTGGGATGCATAATCTCATGGCTGAGGTATCATTCGAACAAATTTGGAGGTTGAAGTTTACTCTATATTTTTCCTTGGTTCAGGAATGAAACCTCTTTCATGGATCAAACAAAGATTATAAATATAATTATATAAATCCAAGAAATAAGAAAGGTGGGTATAAATAGTTAATCACGTCTCTTTAGTCTCACGACTCTGATTAACTGCCCTCCTACTCAGACTCGCCAGTCTGGATTGATAAAGAGACAATGTTCCGCCTCACACTCTAGTTGTGAATCTAGGTTGGAGCAAAGAGGGATAATGTCTATCCCGAGCTTTATAAAACATCAATGTGTTTTAAATAGTGGGTTACGTCTTTTAGGAAAGACCACCTATATAGACTACGGTTTATAGAGAATACCAATATGTCATGTTTGAAATTCATATCAAAAGTTTCAACATTTTACAAGTGGAAAGCATAATATAGAATCGTCAGCACTACCATAAACACGTAATATTATAGGTTCAACCATCCAAATGAATTCACAAGGTCAAACAATTGACACTGGCAGCAAAAAGTTAGTTCAACTGTTCTAAAAGAGACCTTCAGAAAAAGAAATAAGAACCTTTATGATAGATTGTGTGTGCCTGAGGGGCATAGAAATTTGATGGATAAACTGAAAGATCACCATCTAAGCCAAAAGATCTCAACTGAGCAACAACTTGCTCTGAATGAGGTATAGCAACGCCCTGATAAGGAAGATGAGAAGCAATATATTCCAAAAGCCGCTGACAACAAATTGCAGGATAGGATTGAAGTTGAATGCATTTAATAGATTCAGCATTGAGATTACCTGTTCCTTCATGCTATCAGGCTCTGCAGGAGTTTCTTCTGCATCCATGACTATTGCGCTCGGTTACTAAGTAGTCTTGGAAACACAGGCAGTACAGATTATGACCAATCAAAGCTAAATTTTGGAATACGAAAATGTGAAGGTATCAATATGTACACACATATCCACAGGTACACACCTACGCACAAGTGATAGAAAACAACAACATTACACCATGTGTAAAGTGCGATGTAATACAATAGAGACATACGTGATCACCCCATATACAGAACACTCATTAAGTGCTTATTATCTTCCAGAAATTCACTTGATTCCCAAGTGTCCTTTTACATTATAAACTCCTGATTACATTTACACTAAATGCATTTTCACAAGGTTGTGATTTTGTTTAGCTTGAATGTTTTGAGTTTAAAAGGTCTAAAAAAATAGCAAAACAAGACATTAGGTTCTGAAGTTATAAAAAGAGAGCTATTGCCAAGCCAAGAGCTATCTTTTAATTGAAAAAAATGAATCGTTTACAGATAAACACATTTATAATGCATTTCGTATCAAACAAACGAATATAGAAAAACATCAATCAATCAATCAAAGGAGGTGGAAATGAATTTTATAGCAGACTTTACGCCATCTAAATGTTGAAAGGTACATTATACAATCTATTCTACCAGATATTAAAGAGAGTTCTAACGTAAGATATAATATAGCAATGCTGGCTATGTGATGCTTTGACATTATTGTTTGGAAGTAGAACAGCGAAACAACCAAAGATCCATCTGCAAATAGCAGGAGCTGATTTCTAAACATCACAATCAGTTCTCGTCTTAGAAAATGGTTCTCCTTTAAAGTACTTCCAGTTTGAATCTCAGAATGCAATAGTTTGGTGGTCTGAATTTATATGCTAAATCATCATCAACCATATGACAAAATTCTGATGAAATCACAGATTGGTAAACCACAAAAAGATTAAACTTTATACTAATATTGGAAATAAATTAAGCAAACAGAGCTCACTAAAAATAAGCATCCGATGCATTACAGATATAATTATAATGCACCCAACATTATTCTAACACAAACCAGAGACTCAAGATCACCCTTAATTCATTGATCGACTCTGCGGATTGAAAAGAAACAAGAATCAAAAAGCAAAATTGGACTCGGAAAGGATTTTTAACACGTATTATAAGTAACACACAGCACCACAACAAATAGAATCACTTTGATTCAGAGGAGAAAAAAAGGATTCAAAAACTGTACAATTTACGACTAGGGCATGGAATTACACGATCACTAGCCTGTAATTGGATTGTAGGAGTTAAAATTTATGTGTAAAAGAAGGAAATTCATCGATCACTGCATAAAAGAGATCTCAATCTCAAAGCAAGAATACCCGGGACCGAGTTTTGTTGGCGTGGGGGCCGAAAACAAAATTATGACGTAGCATTCTTGCAAACTTATAACTTATTTTGGGCATAATTTGATTAATTTTCTCTACTTTCGCGGATATCATTAATGCGAAATTTGCGAAAATCATACTGTTTCCTACAGGTGCCACCATTGACGAGATAGCAGCAGGGTTAAGAGGCCGTTTGATTGTGCTACATTACAACATCATAATTTACAAATTTATTTATTACTAAATGATGCAAATTAGAATTATATTTGTCAAAATCTCATCAACCAAATAAAAGAAAATAATCTTCCCACTTTCTTTTTTACACCTCATCAATATGTAAAAGATTACGTAACTGATGATTTACAACGATCATAATTAAATCTCAATTATGTTGTGTTCATAAGATTATAATAGTTGAAAAATTGGTCGAACGATCAAGACTCGCTGGATTTAGCATGAAAAAATATGGTTCAAGGGATGATATTTAGGGCGTGTTCGATCGTACTTAAAATCCAATTAAAATTGAAAATATAACCGTTATTGGGTCTCACTCATCTAATAAAGTCAACAACAACGACTAATTTTTCAATTTTAATCTCTACCGAACACGCTCTTAGCAATTTTTATAGTCGGCTTTAAGATGGTCAAATTTTCCTTCCCATAAGATTATAATAGTCGAAAAACCGTTAGAACCATCTAAACTCGATAAGTTTAGCATAGAAAAATCTGGCTCAAGGAATGACATTTTAACATTTCCTTCCGACGTGTGCAGTATTGTCCTTACCCGAATGCAATGGAACATTCTCGTTCGAATAGTAAACGAGACATGGATTATGGTCCCTTCCCGAGTTACCCGAACTATCCCAAATTGTGTTTTGTGTTGTTTTATATTTATACTTTTCAATTTAAATCGCATTTAAAATATAAATAATAATATTGAAAATTAACAAATTAATTAAAAGAGACACTAAATAGAGATACTTTTAATCCCGTACGATTCTTGAAAATCCCTCAACTTGGGTGGTAATTGCTATCCCCACACCGATTGTCCCATGTTTATCCGTTCCAGGAGTTGTATTAAGTTCAATTCTAATTCTTCGAGAGAAACTTTGTGTTACAAGTCGAACTTTGGAACTTGTAGTTTCATTATTTTCTTTTTTTTTTTTTTTAAACAAAACCTACATGTATCCTACGTGGATTACATTTTCAAGGCTTTGAACTATAGGTTCAAATAATTTTCTTTTTCTGAGGAATTCAATTCCATTGTATGACTTCTTTCCATTTTTAGTCAATCATTTATATGTTGACAATATTTAACATACGATGGTTCACGATCCTCAATTTGTAGGATTTCAAGAGACACACCCATGATTTATGAAATAGAGAATAATTTTTAAAATCACATTATTATTATTATTTGATTGATCAATCATTTTTATTCGGTCAGAGACGATATTTTTGATCCATGAGATAAATCTACCAAAACAAGCCTAGCCTTTCCAATCTTACTTAGAGCATGTTTGGTAGTGATTAAAATCCAATTAAAATTGAAAATATAATCGTTATTGGGTCTCACTCGTCTAATAAAGTCAACAACAACGTCTAATTTTTTAATTTTAATCTCTACCGAACACTCTCTTAGCAATTTTTATAGTCGGCTTTAAGATGGTCAAATTTTCCTTCCCATAAGATTATAATAGTCGAAAAATCGTTAGAACCATCTAAACTCGATAAGTTTAGCATAGAAAAATCTGGCTCAAGGAATGACATTTTAACATTTCCTTCCGACATGTGCCGTATTGTCCTTACCCGAATGCAATGGAACATTCTCGTTTGAATAGTAAACGAGACATGGATTATGGTCCCTTCCCGAGTTACCCGAACTATCCCAAATTGTGTTTTGTGTTGTTTTATATTTATACTTTTCAATTTAAATCGTATTTAAAATATAAATAATAATATTAAAAATTAACAAATTAATTAAAAGAGACACTAAATAGAGATACTTTTAATCCCGTACGATTCTTGAAAATCCCTCAACTTGGGTGGTAATTGCTATCCCCACACCGATTGTCCCATGTTTATCCCTTCCAGGAGTTGTATTAAGTTCAATTCTAATTCTTCGAGAGAAACTTTGTGTTACAAGTCGAACTTTGGAACTTGTAGTTTCATTATTTTCCTTTTTTTTTTTAACAAAACCTACATGTATCCTACGTGGATTACATTTTCAAGGCTTTGAACTATAGGTTCAAATAAATTTCTTTTTCTGTGGAATTCAATTCCATTGTATGACTTCTTTCCATTTTTAGTCAATCATTTATATGTTGACAATATTTAACATACGATGGTTCACGATCCTCAATTTGTAGGATTTCAAGAGACACACCCATGATTTATGAAATAAAGAATAATTTTTAAAAACACATTATTATTATTATTTGATTGATCAATCATTTTTATTCGGTCAAGTTTTTTTTTTTTTTTTTCCAAAGAACCTATGGATCCTTTGAGATGAGGCATTTGATTTTTAATCGATGAAGGAAAATAAGTTATTTTGTACGATTGCGATTCTTTGTTTTTCCTTTTATCATATCCCTCAACGCCTTTGAGATGAATTTCAATATTGAGGTGTTGTTTGCTACTGATTTTCCACATCCACAATTGTGATTTTTTGACCGTTAGTTGTTGCAGGCGGGTCCCACACAACACACAAAGGGTCAAACATTGCGGCTTGAATTTTTCCAACGGTAGGAATTCTACCATTCCAACGGCTGGAATTCTGCTTTTTAGCAGAAACAAACAGCCACATAATTTCGGCCCGATAAGCTGAGTGCAATAAACTTGAGTTTTGTAGTGTTTATCATTTAATATAATCATATAAGAATAAATTTCCATATGACATGAGTTGTATCTTTTCTTTCATAGATAAATATTAGTTCATAAATTACATAATTAATATATTATTCGAGACATGCTATTCAAGAGCATGATAAAACATTATTATTATCATTTTTTATTTGAAAAATTATGTTATATTTTACTTTTACTTCTTCAAGATCAACATCTCAATATTCTTCTAGAATATTAAAATTGTAATATCACACTATTTAAGAGTAAGTAATATATTTTTAAAATATTAATATAATGTTTTGCTACTTTGAAAGTAACAATATATTCCCCCTGTTTGGCCCCATCATTTGAGATTATAATTTTTGGAATGATATTTTTTAAATAATGTGTGGTTAAAAAAGAAAAAAAAAAGTTTTGATTTTACGTGTAATATTATTTTATTGAAAAATGTGTGGTTGATAAAAAAAGAGAGAAATGTGGATTATAATTTTAATGGGGCCAAACGGAGGCATTGCTATTTAAAATTATTAAATTATGTTAATTCGAGAGCAATATTTTAGCATAATGTTAATATTTGCATAAATGTACCCTTAATGAGCAACAACATGATAAATTATTGCATAAAATTGATCAATATTACAAGAAAAATATATAAGTTACAAGAACATGTCTAAAAGAAAAAACCGACTTCCAATTCACGTGCAATCATACACATAATAATAACATACTATTAGACAGTCATTAAAACAAAAACAAAAGAAACTGACTACAAGTTCACGTGTACATTTGTATAACCTTTCAT